CTTGAACCTGGGAGGCGGAGGTTGCAGTGAGCTGAGATGGTGCCACTGCATTCCAGCCTGGGCAACAGAGAGAGACTCCATTAAAAAAAGAAAAGAATGAATTAGGAAACAGAAAAGCAGACAACAGTACATCAGCCAACAATTGTTATTTGAAAAGACCAATAAAATACACGGATCTATCAAGATGCAAAAAAAAGGCCAGATAATCAAGATAAGGAATGAGCAGACAATATAACCAGAGATGATATTTAAAAACATAAAGAAATACGCTCCACACGAATAAACATAGAAATCTCAACAAGGTACAATTTTCTAGGAAAACAAGAATTTCCAATAGTAATTCAAGAAGAGGCAGAGAATACTAACATTCCAATAATCTTAGAAGAAATAGAATAAGGTTTTGTTTTTTTGTTTTTGTTTTTTTTAAATAAGTACCTCATCCATTTAGCTTCTTGGGAAAGTTTTTGTTTGTTTTGAAGGTTTAAAAGAACTTTTGGCAAGTTCTTTTAAACCTTCAAGAGATACATACCTCTGTTATTAAATTGTTCCAGGATATATAAAACTAAGGAAATCTTCCCAATTCATTTTTCCAAGCTAGCATAATCCTGATCTAAAAACTTAACAAAGGCAGCACACACAAAAAATTAAAAACTAGTCTCATGATTTGTGAATATAGATGTAAAAAGTCTACTATCATAATGATTGGGAAATATTACAGAAAGAATAATGTATCATGACCAAATAAGTTTCATTCTGAGTATGCAAGGATGGTTCAATATTAAAGCATTGTTCAGCACATCTTATTAATGTATCAAAGAAGGAAAATTACATGATTATATAAAATATGTGGAAAAGGCATTGGCTAAAATTCAGTATTAATTCCTTATGATACCTCTTAGTAAATTAGAATTGAAGTATACTTCCTTGTTCTATTGATGCTACATCTAAAGTTAATATCATACTTAATTGGTAAGATACTTGGAGAGTTCCTGTTAATGTCAAGAACATGCCAAGGAAACCTATTATCAATGTTATCACTGAACATTGTTCTGAAAGTTTTAGCCAGTACAATAAGATAAGACAGAGACACAAGAGGAATAAACACCAGGGGGCGGGGGAAAACCCAAGATTATAATTAGCTAAATAAGTCTTAGGCTTGGGAAATCATAAGAAAACTGGTTCATCTCCTAGAACCAATGGAAAACTTTGGTGAAACAGCCAGGTAAGGGACTGTGTCAGCTCCAGCCTTGTGCAGGACTTGAGCAGCCATCATGCTGGAGGCTCATTCCATTCTCAGGCTCCCCCTCCCAGCCCATCAGGATGGCAGTGTGCACTCAGAGGAGCTAGCACATGGCCACGTACACTCTACAAATCACTCTGCCTCTGTGTTCCCATTATAGAGGGGCTCCTTTGCCTTGTCCATGGCTCCAGTTTTATGCAAGCCAAGTCCCTAGAAGCAGATGCTTCACCTGTGCTGCACCTACTCTCCTTGGACTAGTCATGAAAACAAAGGGCATGGGTTGTCACTTGCAAGGAAGGGAGAGAAGCTGACAGCTTTCTGTGTCCTCCCAACCCCCTGAATTGCTCCAGTGTGCCAGGCACTGGTGTGGGCTGTTGAGCAGCCTTATTCCACCATAGCCTCATGGCTTACAAAATTCCCAGCATAAACCTATGACACTGCGTGGGGAGGTCTCCGGGAGGCTGCGGCTCACCAGAGAAAAGAAGACAGTAGGGCACAGTGAGGAAGAGTGTCAAGTCTGTCCAGGCTCACGTCCTTGATTTGCCACTTACTAGCTGTGTGACCTTGAGAGAGTCCCTTAATCATTCTGAGCCTTAGTTTCCTTATCTATAAAATGGGGATGATAGTAACCAACGCTTATAGAGAATAAACTGTGAGTTAGGCACACACATACTTATTCCTCACAATTACCCTATTAGAGAGCTGCTATTATCCCTGTTTTACTGAGAGGGAAACTGAGGCACAGAGAGTGTAAGTGATTTGCTCAGAGTCACACAGCTAAAAGATTAAAAAGCAAGGTTTCAAACCCAGCCAGTCTGGCTTGCAAGCCTGCCCTCTCCACCCCTGCCCCATGCCATCTCTGCAGCCACACAGCAGCATACCTTCTTCACGAGGCTGTGGTAAGGAGGCAGAGGGAAGATGTGTGAGAAGCACACGGCACAGTGTGGAAGGCGGAATTACTGGCGCCAGTCCTGCATCCCACCCTCACCACCACCGGCTTGAAAAAGAAATAGCAATTTAACACCAAAAAGTAGAAAGGACACATATTAAACTGGTTTTAAAACAAATTCAGTTTTATGAAAAACTGAAAGGAACCCTTTGCAGCTTTTCCTGCTGGAGCACGGTGGCCTCCTCTGACATTTAAGTTTAGGTTCAGCCATGTGCCTTGCTCTGGCCAATGGGATGGAAGCAGACAGTCGCCAAGCAGAAGCTTGATGTGTGCTTGTATGGCTGGGCGCCCTTCTCCCTTACCCTGAGAATGTGTCCTGGCTAGCCTACAGATCCAAGGAGGAGGGGGCGCATGTGGAGCAGAGGTGGACCCAACCTGTGATTGGAGCCCAGCCCACCCTGGGGCAGCCAATCCCCCGCCGACCCCAGGTGCACCAGCAAGAAGCAATGATTACTATGCTAAGACCTGAGTCTCGGGGGTGTTGGCTAAGCAGCAATGTTGTGGGAATTGCTGATTGACACAAGATTTAATAAATGTCATCACTGTTCTCTACTTAAAAGCTTGCTGCCTGGAACCTCTAAAAACACCTATCCAAATCCAGGTAGAGGCTGCCCCCCACCCCCCGTGGGGAAACCCACTCTGAATTCAAGCCTGAGATCTGCTCTGAGGCCCATCAGATCTCTCCTAGGACCAAGCTGAAGAGTCTGTGACCTTGGAGGGCACAGGCAGTTTCAGCTTCTCAGTCCCTTCCCTAACATGTCTCAGGTGTCTCGCCAGGGTTGGGGGTGTTTAACAACCTGTCAACACAAGGCAGCTAAGGAGGCGCTACTGCCCCTTCTTAGCTCTAATTCAAGCCTCTGGACTGGGATGGGAAACCAGATTTAATGCTTCTAAACATGCTGTGACCTTAAAGCTCACACTTCTTTCACATTTTTTTACCAAGGAAGAAATTATTTGTATCATTTGCAATGGCACTGAATGTTATTGATGGCCTATAATAAGTTTGCAAATAACCGACTAAAATGAATCAATTTGAGTTCTTCGCATAATTCCTCCTATTAACGGCATGTAAGCACATCTTGTCCAACTCATGCGGGGCCTTCTCTTATCAGGAAGGATAACCAAGACTTGGCTTTGCTTACTATTAGCAAGGAGTCCAGGCAGAATTGTGAAACTCAAGACAAAGACCACTCCTCTAGAAGAGACACATTTAGTTTAAAATAACTCACTATTTGGCAATCCTGCCAGGAACGGGAAGAACTGGGACCTGGCCCTGTTGTACAGATGAGGAAACTGAGGCTCAGGGATGAGGTTTGCTTGGCCCAAAGTCACAGAGTAAGCGGTAGAACAGGGACTTCAATTCAGAACTCATAATTT